GAGAGAGAGAGAGAGAGAGAGAGAGAGAGAGAGAGAGAGAGAGAGAGAGAGAGAGAGAAAGAGAGAGAGAGAAAAAAAAGAGAGAGAGAGAGAAAGTAGATTTATACGCGTGAAGAAGAAATAGTGCGACAAAAAGATGATAACCAGATGTGTATATGTGCGTGTGTGTGGGGAGAAAGAGAGTGTGGAAGAGAGAGAGAGAGAGAGAGAAATATATATATATATAGAGAGAAATATATAGAGAGAGAGATAGAAGGGGGAGGGGTGAAAAGAAGAAGACGATGGCGGTATGGCTAGAACAACACCGAATTGGATGGGTGAAGTGAATCTGATATCTGAAGAGGACTGCACATGCACGGTGCTGCTTAGCTGCTGATTTAACAACCGTGATTCTGCTTAACCCCGCAAGCATATATCTACTGCTATTTTAACAAGAACTATTGATGTCTCGTGCTAATGTAAATCATTTGTATATTGGGATGTTTGTAACTAATTCAAATAAATAACCCAGGATGTCGTTAGTAAATCCGAAATTAAAATCAGTCAATTAAATACATAAACGTATGCAAGCGTTTGCGTGGATGTATGCCATTATTAGGTTAAAGCATTATAATATTATATATAAGCATATATTTATAACGTTCGTTCCTAGATGAATTTCTAGCCCAAGAGCATTGAGTAAAAGCTGGTCGAACCATGCAGGAATGTGTAATCAGCGTGTAATGACGGCCCAGGCGTCCGCTTTACGCATATTAAAACATTATTTAGCTAACTCTAATATGGCAAACTTATAGCTCATATACATATCCATCCAGTTTCTTATCAGATCCGCCAAAGTTAATTGGTCAAAGACTTATATTGCGAAGGTCGCTCGATGGAGGGAGAAATTGCTTTCGCAGTATGAATTTCCCGCGCAAATATTTTATTATTTAGAATAGAACTTCAAAAAATGCAGCAGATGGGCTCTCAGAGCTGTCATTGCGGGTAATACTTAGGAATTACCTCGAAAGTATATTGATCATTTTAATATAATATATAAGTTTATAATTTTATGTTTTATTAATTACTTCATTGATTATAAATCGTGCGTCTCTTTGTTTCATGTATTGCGTTCGCTGGTAAGACATTATAGAGAGTAATATAATAGTTGCGTACCCCCTACATGTTCTGATGTCTCATACACGCAGTGCAGTCACCCGTGCTTGTACTGCAAGGCCGTAACAAACCCACGCACATAGTCCGAATACGTAATGTAATATAATTGTTGACGTGACTTCTTTATTATTATCATCATTATCATCGTCATATTTATACAACCGTAATGGAATATTGTTTACAGCGACGTGGTTTGCCTCTATACTGTTTACTTCGCTTGACTATTATATTAGGAAGGATATTTGTCAGCGAACACGTACGGTGTAAACGTAAATTATATCTAGAAAGCAACGTTATATAGTGACGTACGGTTGCCAACAGCCTCTAGGAATAGATATAAAGATACTATTCTAAATATGTTACACACTGTCCGCGCGATATATATATATATATATATATATATATATATATGCGTATATATATGTATATATATATATAATTATATAGGGAAGCTATTTACTATTATATACAAATAAAATGCCTAACGACAGTTTACTTCACAGCAGTAAAAATGTGAACAAAACTATATGTATATATATATATGCAATTATCGGGAGCAGCTAGAACGTTCGACGGCGCATGCCTCACTAACTGCTATCGTCATCATTCGACTCGTCGCGGCCAGTGGTGCTGCCACCCGTCTCGGCTCTCCACTTATCGACGTGATGCGAGGGCTTCTGCTTCTTTGGTGTTGCGTCCTCCTCCGCTTGCCCGGCTCCTCCCTGCTCCTCCTCATCTTCCTCTTCCTCCGTCTTGACTCGCTTGAACTTCGTTCGCCGATTTTGAAACCAGACTTTTACCTGTATCGGGAGAGAGAGAGAGAACACGCTCTGTGTTACGCTCACTGTCGACATGCCAATATAATATATATATATATATATATAATCATGGTCAAAGCCTATATTCCCTGGGGTCCGTTGTCAGTAAGATCATAAATAGTAAAGTGAAGAATTATGCAAACGTTATAGCATTCATTCATCTACTTATGATCATTCCGACAACGGGTCTCTGGAATTTTCTTCTGAAAAAAATATATACATAAAATTATATAGGAGAATAGTAATAATTATGATGCGAAAGACATAAAAAGAAATATCCCGGATACACGCGGATATAGAAGAAACTATTCCGAAGAAAAACGAACATTGCAGCTATTTTAGAAATCTTGTCAGCTGCGCATTCGCACTGCGCGCTAGCTCGCATTCGTTCTTGTTCTCAAATCTACTGTTTATGCAAATCCATTGCTGCGGGTAAAACTAGCTTTCGCTAATTGCTATACTTCTGACAGGAAAACGCCCGCTACAGAAGTCAGAAACGATCGGTATTCGGCTATAGTATATAACAGCAGTTTGTTGTCTATTACCCCGTACAAGGAAAAACACAGGGTAGCTAGGTAGACCACGTGCGCAAGCCGGTAGCAACGTAAACCGAAACCGCAGCTGCTTCTACGATAAAATTGGCAGCTATGACTGGCTGCCCTGTTGTTTCTCTGCTACGGCAAAAATATAGGCTAGCGCACCAACTACCCCATAGTGGTTCTTCCGCTAATTTTATCGTCACACACTAGCTATATATATATATATATATATATCTTTATTTATTTATTTGTGGTCTGTTAGTGATTGCCGTGGCTGTTCGACCATGATGGTATCACACAGTCGCTCGCTCGCCGAGTACAGAAGCGCCCGCGGCGATGATGGCACTTGACAATCACGTTCGTATATTTGCCGCGTCGCGTGTGAAGATCCTCGTGGAAATATGCGCTCTTCACAAAGACTTGGCGCGAAGGAAAGAGATTAGCCGGAGCCGTTGTTGTTATGAGCGCTGTTTTTTTTTCTGCGCGCGCATGCATACGCACACCACCCTTTACATTACTCTTCTATAGGCTTATAGATGTGGGAGGTACGATGAAACCGTAGGGTGCGGTGAATAGGGAAATGGTGGGGGAGAGAGAGGGAACAGGGTGTGGGTTTGAATGATATATAGATAGATCGATAGATAGATAGTTAGATAGATAGATAGATAGATAGATATATAGATAGCTAGGATATATATATATATATATATAGATAGATAGATAGATAGATAGATAGATAGATAGATAGATAGATAAATAGATAGATAGATAGATAGATAGATAGATAGATA